GAAATGGGTGGATAGAGGGACAAACTAACAGAGGGAGACTGAGCAGACAGGGAAAGAGGGAAAAGATAGCAAGGGGTTAGGGCTGGAGGACTTGGAAATACCAGTTGGGAGTAGAACTCACATTATTCGCCTTCACGCTTCCCTGGCCCCGACGACCAAAGTGACCAGTTAATCGGTGTAGGACAGTCCGGTTCTGCTTCCTGGTGGACCGAAGTTTTGAGCTATTTCCTCTCCTCCCAAGGGAGTTTTCTATTAGGGGGAAAAATGGGCAGAGATAAGTTGGGAGCATCTTAAGAGGCTGTGTGTCCAGCAATCCAGTGTGATCCAGACTTATAACTACCATGATTATTGTCCCCATGGAGTCCCGGTGAGCCAAGTCCTGGCCCTCCACTCTGAGTGATGTCCTTGAAGGAAAATAGGAAAAGCACAACTTCCCCCATCTCATTCTTGATGGGCATCATGTCCAGGAGACACCAAAAGGCTGAGCCTGTGGGCACAGAGAGAGAAGGCAGAGGTATGTGAGCAGCCTTGTGCATGCTTATGGTTCTCTGTGTTTTCTCGATGTAGTCAAAAGATTTAGTAAATGTTTAGGCTGGGAGACAACCCAGAGATTTGTCATCTGGTTCCTTTACTTTACAAATGGAGAGACCAAGACCCAGAAAAGATCAGGGATGAGCTTAGTCCTGCAGCCAGCTTGTAGCCATGCAAGAATAAGCCCCAAAGCTCCTCTATGCCCTGCAGACTCCAGGTGAGACTTGGGACTTGGGCAGATGTTAAGCCAGGTCAGGCTCCTCACCATCCTTTCGGTAAAAGCAGATTTCAGCTCGGTGTTCCTGGTGGCCCTCCAGGGCTTTTTGCAGCCGTTGCAGGGCTGGCTCACTGGTCTCTGGGCCATAAAGGAACCGGCAGCTACAGGTTTTCTGCATGACCTCTGTGCGGCCGTAGCCTGTGAGCTCGCAGAAGCCGTCAGAGCAGTAGACGATGGGAAAACCACGCGGGCCCTGTGCATTGGCCAGAAGGAAGTTGCTGTCTATAGGAGGGAGAAGTCAGGGTCAGGGCCAGGCCAAAAGGAGAGCTAACTTCCAGATAAACAATAGTGCCCTCAAATTGTGGACAGAGATCAGGGAGCTAGAAGCTTCTATATGGCTCCTAAGGGAGCTCTGAGATGTTCTGAAATGAGGGCAAGAGATAGAATAAGAGGGCAAAGACTCAAAGGTAGCCTGGAGTCAGTGGGAGGACTAGAGAAGGAACCCCATGAGGCCATGTGGTTCACACTCCTACCTTCAAGCCGGGGAGCTGTGACCACAGAAAGTAACATAGAATGGTAAGGGCATGGGCTCCAGCACTCACTTCCACCACCCACTGAATGGGACCCTGGACAGGTTAACTATAGCTCCTGTGCCACAGCTTCCTTATCTGCAAACCGGGACAAATGTGCCTTGCCCTGGTGGCTATGAGTTGCATCAGGTAACTTGGGAAGAAGGTCTCCTGGCATTTAGCAAATGCTACACTGAGAAAGGAAAAGACCCCCCCCCACCTTCCAGTCACTCAATTCTGGAAGCACATCCTTGGATACTACCCTGGCATCCTCTTGTAATGAGCAGGACACAGATTCTGATGACATCATACTCTTATTGTTAAATCAAAAGGCAGACAATTTCCAAACTCACAAATGTGCTTAAAGTGAGGGGAAAGACAGTGGGAGACACATCCTCTTTCTTGCCTTCCAGGAAATGCCTGATTTTTGATAATCTTTTAACTAGTTTCAGGGGGTCTGATCCTGGTGCTTAAAGTCAAACAGGAGGACATTGAGGTGTGAGCTGCAGCTAACCCCAGCACCAGAGCCTGAGCTGGCTCCCTCTAGCTTAGGTGGATTAGAGACCCGGGGGTGGGAGGGCACCCGGGGACAGGCACAGTTGATGGGATGTGGCACACAAACAGTACAAGAACCCTAGGTGAGGTTACTGTCAGGGTATGGGGTGGCTGATCGGGACACTTAGGGTGCCTAAGAAGCCATGGGTCCTGGGAACAGCTTACTTCTTCCATCCCAGGGCCCGTTGCCTCGGTGATTGGCGCTATGGAAACAAGGGAGGTGGGGGGGGTAGGGCCCTGGCGGCTCGGTTTCCGCCCTCGGCTACCGCTCCCCCACCCTCCTAATGCCCGCCAGGGTTTCGGAGAGGGACAAAGGAAGACCTAGGGGTTCCAGAGTTGGGAGAGGGAATGGCGGGAGAAGAGGCCGGGAAGAAGCTGTGCGGCTGTCCAAGGTGCTGAACTTGGGAATCCAGCTCAGGTGGGCTAACAGGGAGTTCCCCTGGTCTCTAGTTCTTGCCCCTGCTTTACCTCACCCACCTCACACACAGATATCTCATAATTTGGGGGAGCGTGACCTTAATATAGACTAGGTCTGGTCTAAGTCTGATCTCTCTTTCTCGCTCGCTCTCTCTCCTGGGGCAGGGGGCATCTGGAGTCATCAGACCACTTTGTCCCATCTCCACGTCTTAGATACACCCCCAGCACAGCTCTGCCCCGGAGTGGGTGGCTCCCAAGGCCCCTCCTCCGTCTTATGGCACAAAGAGCCTCTTTTGCCTTGAGTCACACCCCCTAACCTTGTCCTCCCCCCCCCCCCCGCCGCCCCGGTCTCTTGATCTTCCACTCTACGGGGCTCTGCACCCCTGCTTCTTTACCACGGTTTTAGGAGTTCTTGCACCCATTCTCCCTCCTCTGATCACTCCATATCTAGGATATCCACCCTGTCCCAAGGAGACTTGACCCAGCCCCCACCCAACTCACGCGTGCCGTCAAAGCGGGTGGCGATGGTGTCCAGAAAGGTGTTTTGAGGGGCCAGCAACCCCTTCATGACCGGCATGGCCCCGGGTGCGGATTCGAGGCGTTGCGCGGGCTGCGTTCAGCGCGGCCTGGCCGGAGGGGGCGCGCTACCGGCGGGGCCGGGGCGCCCCATGCGCCGGCCTGCCTCCTCCCCTCCTCTAGCCGCCGCTGTCTCTCTGCTCTGAACCTGGTAGATCTGAGCTCTGCCCCGTAGCACTTCGAGAGCCACCCCCCCCACCTCCCCACGGGACAGGTTCTTCCCAGAGGGCTCGGCCCGCGCCCACCACGTGGCTCCGCACAGGGAGGGGCCGCCAGAGACACCCGCACCTCTCCTCTGCGGCCCTCCTCCCAGAGGGGAGCGGCCCACGCGTGTCTCTTGGGGAGAGACTCGGAGACACGCCCACCATCGAGGCTTGAGGTGTTGAGGTGGGGCTCCGATGGTGGCCACGCCCTTCTTTCAAGGGGATCACGCCCCTACGCGCGTGGTTCCCTGGCTGCTCCGGGTAGCTCCACCTCACGGGTTTCCCCGCGCGGCCCACGCTGGGGCTGGTGTCTGGTTGATAGTGCCGCCTGCTGGAATTGAGATATTTCTTCTCAAAAAAAAAAAAAAAAAAAAAGGGTTGTTACATTTATTGTGTGTGTGTGTACATGCCTATGCCATAGTGCAGGGTGTTTCTGCAGTCGGTTCTCACCTTCCACTTTGTAGGTCCCCAGGATCAAACTCAGTTCTTCAGTCTTGGCAGTAAGGGCCTTTATCCACCCAGCCGCCTTGCCAGCCCTCATGTCTCTTTTGAATTTTACATTACTATCTTAGGGCTATAGCAAAGTGACGCAGAGTGGACGGTTTAAACAATTCTGGGATCTAGAAATCCGGTTCAAAGTTAGATCCCGAACTCAGGGCTTAGATCCCTCTGAAGGCTGTAAAGAATTTTCCATGCTGGTGACTTCTGGCATTCCCCGGCTTGTGGGTGCATCACAGTGTCCCATGTACGTGTGAGTGTGTGTACGCCAATCCTCCTTTTTATGAGTGCACTACTCATGCTGGATTAGAGGTCTGCTATACTCCAACCTTATCTCACTAGGCTGTGTCGGCAAGGCCACTTCCTAAATGCTGGGGGGTTAAGACCTCAACATGTGAATTTGTGGGGAGTACATTTCAACCTACCACAGGCATCTTTTGCTGGAGTTAAAAAAAAAAAAAATCTCTGCTTAAAAACATTCCCAGACTTCCATTCTATACAATGAGGTGCAAAACCAGGTCATATGCAATAGCTGCACACTTAGCCACCTGCTTTCCAGTGGTATTTTTCACACCACCGCCACTCTGGAAGGCTCATCATGCAAGCTCATGTGCCTTGCCTTTTGGGCAACCTTACTCCAGCCCTTACAAGCTGGACTCTATTCCCTTGTGCGGCTTTCCTGAAGCTCTCTGTGTGGGTCCCTACTATAAAACAGTAGGAGCTGAGGATGTAGCTCCGTTGGTAGAGTGCTTGCTTAATATACACCAAGTTCATTCAGTCCCCCAGTATTGCAGGAGCCAGGTGTGGTGGAGTACACTTGCAATTTCAGCAGTACTCCGGAGGTAGAGGCAGTAGGATCATTTAAGGTTTGAGGGTCATTTAAGTTTAAGGTCATTCTGGTCATTTGAGGACAACCTGGAAGACTTAAGACCCAGGTTTTGTTTGTTTGTTTTTTCAAGACAGGGTTTCTCTGTGTAGCTTTGGAGCCTGTCCTGAAACTCACTCTGTAGACCTGGCTGGCCTTGAACTCACAGAGGTCTGCCTACCTTTGCCTCCTGAGTATTGGGATTAAAGGCATGCACTGCCACCACCGTCTGGCCACGATCCAGTTTTAAAATAAATAAACAAATAAAGTAGATAGTAGAACAACGTGGGTCACGTTGTTACCTCCTTCCACCCCCCACCCCACCCCTGCCCTGAGCATGCACCTCAGGACTCTTGCACTGGGTTCTTCCAGACCAAGTGTTTAGGACAAGAAACACAAGCTCCTTCCGGGGGCCCTAAACCTTCACAGTTCTCAGATGCTTTCCCGCCCCCTGGAGGCCTGAACTTGATACAGACACAAGAACAAAGATTCGCCATACCAACAGACTCGTCTTTATTGCCGTTTTCCTAGAGACTAACACTAGCGATCAGAGGGGAGAAGATAGGACCAGGACAGAGACTGAATGGGGTTCAGACTCCAGACCCGCCCCGGGGCGCTAAAGCGGTGGCGGTTGCGGTCAGACAGCGGCGACCAGGGCAGGGATGTGGCTCTGGCTCTGCGCCTGCGCGACGTCCCATGGTCAGGATGCCAGCAGCGTGGTTGCCGTTGGCCTGCAGAAGGCGTTGCAGCCGGCCCTGAAGGCCTGGGGGTCCAGGCCGACGCTTTCCTAGAGTCAGGATGCCCGCGGCGTGGTTGCCAGCGCCGTGCAACAGTTCGTAGAGGCGGCAAGAGCAGGTCTTCTGGCGACAGCAGTCGGGCAGAGGCTGTGCGTCCACCCCAAGCGACAGCAGCGCTGGCGGCAGCAGCAGTAGCAACAGCAGAGTCAAGGCGGCCCAGGGAACCTAAAGGGGACAAGGGACAAGGCGAGAATGTGTTTCAGTCCATACTCAGTCAGCTTGGAACCTCTTCTTGCCTGAGACTGTGCCTGGCTGTCACTGAGTTTCCTGCATCTGGCTCCTTTGTCAACTCATCCTTCAATCCACAGACAAGTCATCTCCTCTAGGAAGACTAACACCAGCAGAATACACTTGTCCCTTGAAAACATATTTAAAGGCTTTCTCCTCCATCTGCAAACAGGTGTGCCCAAGTCTGTATGAGCCGAACATGTTAAGTTTAGCGGAAACAAAGGGTTTATTTAGTGTAGTCCTTCTGTCTACACACACAGCAGACCTTGCCTTTGCTGGAGAAAACTGAACACTGTGCCTTTGGACCAGTTTCTCACCCTCTTGGAACAGCCCTTCCTCATCTACAAGTAGGCATTAAGCCATCCCTATTACCGCGGGCTATTGAGTGGATGACAAACCGAGAAACGCAAAAGCTCCATAAACATGAGCCTCTAGGAGAATGATTGGCATGCCTAGTGTTAACCAAGCAGGCTGCCAAGATCCCACCCAGATTCCTGCCTTAGTGCTACATGAGAAAGATGTCTTGGGCCCAGCTCCTGGGCAAGCATTCAAGTGGCCTCAGTGGTTTGATGAGGCTCAGCCCTATTCTTAGCTGCTTTACCTTAGTAGGAGGAAGATTCATGGTGTCTGGAGCTCAGGGCAGGGGGATTTGGAAAGATGGTGTCTTCAGTGCAGTGGTCCAAACACCCAAGAAGTCTGAAGCTGTCGTTGATTGTGACCTGCTTCCAGGGCCCAGGGGTTTATAGTGCTCTGAGGTGTGTGTGGGGCGGGGTAGACATGAGCATTTGCGTCCACTTTAAACCAGACAAAGGCATGTCTAAGATTAGCATCTTGCAGTGGAGCGGTCTCCAGGATGGACCCAAAGAATGGCTGCTCTGTCCTTGGTCCCTGCTTGTCTGTCTGCCTGTTCCTTGGAGATGGGCGGTCTCCGGGTACTAATGAGGCTACCTTGCACCCAGGAATCTTGAGTCACAAAAGAGGCGGTGGCTGGGGCACTGGCCAGAGACAATGGGGGGAGGGGTGGTTACTAATTAGGGGCAGAAAAAGTGGCAGCCTGAGAACCATTGTCCATGGTATGTAGAGGGTGGGGGAGTAGGGAGGGTACCTGGGAAGCATTCACCCCACCCTAGCTCCTTGTCACTGACTCTAGGGACCATAAGGTTCCAGAGCCTTTCTCTCCCTGGAAACAGCTCTTGAAACTGCCCTCCCCACCCCACAGCTCTCCATTTCCTCTGTCCCTTTCACCAAATTCTTCCATGGAAAGTCTTGGAGACTTACTGTGGGCAATGGGTGAGAGAGCAGCCAAGCCTGGTTTCTAGAAGCTGGTAGGCAGCACGTCTCCTGGGCCAGGCAAGAAGAGGACATTGTAGTCTTACTCTGCCATCTCCAGGACTGAACCATCATGGGACAGGGCATGAGGGTGATGGGTGAGGGATGTGGGTGATCGACTCATGTTACTCGAAGGCCAAGTTCTCTGTCAAGGCCTCCTTAAGGAGCTCTTGACGTAGATCAGTTCTGCATGGGCACAGTGATAGCATGTGCCTAGGATGTGACCTTACTTCCTTTCTTTCCCTTCCTCCCTTCTTTCCTTCCTTCCTTTCTCTTTCTTCATTCTTTCGTTTTTTGTTTTGTTTTGTTTTTTTGAGACAGGGTTTCTCTGTGTAGCTTTGGAGCCTGTCTTGGAACTCGCTCTGTAGACCAGGCTGGCCTCGAACTCAGAGATCTGCCTGTCTCTGCCTCCAGAGTGCCAAAATTAAAGGTGTGCACCACCACTGCCTGACTGTGACATATGTACCACATGTGTGCCTGGTGGCTGTGAATACCAAAGAGGGTTTTAGATTCCCTGGAACTGGAGTTATGGATGGTTGTGAGGCAGTATGTGGGTGCTGGGAACCATGCCCATGTCCTCTGCAAAAGCAGTAAGTGCTCTTAAGAGTGCCATCTCCCCAGCCACCATGCCCCTACTTTCAAGAAGCACACAAGTCTAGGGCGGGGAGTGGGGTGGCATCTGGGTCCAAGGTTAGTTCAATGCAGGGAGAGGACTTCAAAGAACCAGCAAAGATTAGAGAGTCACTTCCTTCTGGGTGGGACATGGGGTGGGGTCCCTCAAAGGCTTTACCTGAAAAGCACTTCCACTAGGTAGGTGAGGGAACAGAGTATGTCTGAGAAGGGACAAAGTGAACAAAGGCTTGGATGCTACAGTGCTTGGCTCACACAGTATAGGGTGTGGGCCTCGTAGTTTCTATGGAACTAAAGAGAGAAATTAAGTTCAGTAAAGTTTTCCAGGGCCGCACTGCCAGGCTGGGTAGTCTTTGTTGAGGGACTTTTAAAGGCTGATGGGGAGTGGCTACGGAGAGGGCGGAGCCCATGGGGGGGGGCGTAGAAGGACAGAGAAACATTCAGAGGCAGAACTGAAAGTTGGATAAGGCTCTGGACTAGCACAGTCTTGGCCCAGGAGGAGCTGCAGGTCTTGGTCTCCTAACCTTGAGGCTTAGTTTCCTTGCTGCGATGGGTATTTTTAGCAGGGAGCTCTGAGGCTCCTTCCTGCTGTGACACTTGGTGACTTGAAGCCTCGCTTCCTCCTTTCTCATCGTAGAAGTGATTTGTGCGGACTAGGCCTAGTGCTGAGGCAGGGTGGAGAAGATGGGAACAAACAGTCCCTTCACCTTCAGGCTATGCTGGAATGGGCGGGCAAAGGGCATCTGTCTGCTTGCTTACACTCTTGGGACTAACCTAAGCCAATGTACAGAGGAGGTGAAAGCTCTGGAGCTCAGGACAGGGGCCAGAGTGGTTGGCTGGGCTCCAGAGGGGAGTCCAGGCTGTGGCTGAAGTAGGGTGCAGCAGTGTTCAGAATCTGGGCATGAGAATTTTATTTGAGGGCCTAGAGAAATGACTTGGCAGCCAAGCGTTCTTGATGTTTTCATAGTGGACCTGGGTTTGGTTTCCAGTACCCACATAGCAGCTCTAAACTGCCTGTTGCTGTGGGTTATGCTGGTCGTTAATAATAAAGCTGAGCCGGGCATTGGTGGAACAAGCCTTTAGTCCCAGCACTCTGGAGGCAGAGGCAGGTGGATATCTAAGTTCGAGGCCAGCCTGATCTACAAAAGCTAATTGCAGGACAGCCTCCAAAGCCTCAAAGAGACCCTGTCTGAACATGAAACAAAAAACAAACAGAAAAAGAAAATGAGGTGATAAACTACTAGCCATGTGGCAAAATTTTGATTAATAGAAAGGGTTAATTTAAATGTAAGAGCTAGTTAGTAATAAGCCTGAGCTATTGGTGGAGCATTTATAAGTCATACAAACCTCTGTGTAATAATTTGGAAGCAGCTCCTGGGATGGGAAAACTCTGCCTACAGCATGTAACTCCAGTTCCAATGAATTCACTGTCTTCTTCTGACCTCTGGAGGCATTTGCATACACAGGATACACACACGGGGCAGGCACACACAGATAAAATAAATACATAAATATTTAAAAAAAAAGAGTTTTATTTGGGAGTTGATCCAATGGTAAAATGGGCAAGGGAGGGAAGGATGGAGGGAAGGGAGGAGTGTTGCTAGGAAGAAAATTTAAACACTGGCTTACTCCTGTGGGCCAGCCTCATCCTTTCAGGAGATTGTGCAAGATGTACCTCAGACCAGGAGACAATGATGCTGACACCTTTATATTCATTTGCTCCTTCTCCAAGGAGCCACTCTGGGAGCATAATCTATACTTTCAGCCCATGCTGTACCCTGGTCAAGCACATGAGAGGGGCTGAGATACAGGAAGACACCAGGGTGCATCAATGTCACATAGGACAGGCTGATGGGGACGGTCGTAGGACACTGCTGGCTTCTGCTGTAGGCCAAAAGCCTCCATCTTAAAACCGGTCAATAAGTCAAAGGCCTCCCTAAGGCCCAGTGGCTCTGATGGGCCAATATCCTGTGATGTCTGGTCCAGGACTCAACATCTGGAGATGCCCCAGAGGAAAGGGTGAGGTGACAGAGGGAAGCCTTGCAACAGCTTGCCTTGGTTAGGATATCACCCTCTTCTGCAGGAGCTGGACCAAGTGAGGGAGCCTGAGGACCCGAGGCATTTCAGGAGGGAAGGAGGAGGCGGGGCAGGCTGCTAGTGCTTCCCGGAGTACTCTGAAGCTCCCTGGTCCCACCAGATGGACTTTGGCAGGGCCCACACTGCCCCGGAACCGCAAGGACTTGTAGTGAGGGGAGGCTTCCTGCAGGCAGTGGTCAAGCTAGAGGCAGAAGAGTGGGGTGAGGCTACCCTGCAGTGGCATGTGTACGAGATGCGCATGACCATGCCCAAGGCCACCTACACTTAGGACTCCAGTGTGGAAGGAAGTGCTCCCTTCCCAGACTCCCAGAAGAGGGGTCCCCCTCCCTGGCACCCCTTTCTCTGAATTCCCTCATCTCCATGACAACTGGGGAGGGCTTGTAGAACAAAAGAGACTTAGAATCACACCCTGGTCTGATTGATCTTTTACCTTGTCTCGATTTTCCTCCGACAGATTCCTCAATCCCCTCAGCTCCACAAATACCTCATAGTGCGGGGCAGAGCCATCACAGGAGTCTGAGGACAAAGCCACCCACATACACACTTCCTGAGGACAAGGCAGCTGCCTGCCGGAGCCAACAGCACCTGACTTTATTTCTTCCCTATTCTAAGGTTCATGGGGGAGGGGAGAAACAATCCTTGCTGGCAAGTAGCAAATAGAGGGGAACCTAGAACCGACTCGTGGATGTGAGGTAGGTCAGCAGTGTGTGTGTGAGTTAGATATAGAGAGGGACTTCTGTTAGCAACAGTGGAGAAGACTGAGTTGAGTCTCCTTTCTAGATGTGTCCGGTCAGGGTGAACATGGGTTGGGGGTTAGCCAGACCCAAGACATGGAGGTAAGAGCAGCTAGACATGCTTACCCAGAATGCTGCTCTCCACACAGACATGGTCCAACAGCTTGGCTCCTGGCCACTGTCCCACTGCTTGGGCCAGGGCTGCAGAGAATATATTCTCATCAGTAACTTCTCCTCGAACACTCAGAGTCTGTCCCAGCCTGAAGGGAAATGGAAGAGGAAGTAGACACCCAGGGACAGACAGCCCCTTGGCATCCCCGGGGTCGCCTACCTGCAGGTGAAGCTGACAACTGGAACCTGATTGTAGGCACCAACCACCCGTACCACATCTCCCAGGCGGCACCTGAAGGGGGGGTGGAGTGAGCGTGTGTCTCCTCCCAAGGGCAGGACACCAGAGGTGACAGGGGCCAGTAGGGGATCACCTGGCCAGGCCGGCATGGTCAGTCAGCACTAGTTCATATTCTTCCTCCATTTGGACATCAGGAAGAAGGAGAGTGCAGGCTGCCTCCTCTCGGTTTCCTTCCTTGACTGGGAGCAGCTCAATAAGGGGGGCTCCAGGGGGCAGAAGATAGAATCCTTGGGGTTTCTCTGGCCACAGGTTTAGGGCCATCACCCCTACGGAGAGAAAAAAATGTTGTCAACCTTGTGGTGTATTCCTTTCTGCCAGGCAACAGCAGAAACCAGCGCCTCCACTCTGGACCACAGGCCCAGCCCCTCTGATCATCTGGTCCTCCTGCTCCAGCTTTTCTGGGTACCCTCCCCCCCAAGGTCCAGCCTGCTCCCTCCTGGTCATGACTGGGTAGAGGCCAGCAGAGATGTCGTGGTTCCACAGGGGTCAGAGACGAGAGCAAATCCTGGTACCCCATGAGACTGTGTGAGATGCTATGTCTCAATGAACTTTGGCATGCTCAGCTGACAGACAGAGCTAGTAACCTGTACCATCCTGGGCACTGAGAAGGATTCAAGAAGATAAATTCCTATGTGGCTCAATGCATGGTAACTAGCTGCATGACCTCTGTGGGGGGGGCGTGCCCCCCCCCATCCCACCTGTACCCAGTCCCAGCACCAAGCTGACCTCCAGAGGCAGCATAAGCAGGAGAAAAGAAGGCTAGCCCTTGGCACCACAGGGCCCTAAGGGCAGTCACGGCTTCTGCCTGGCCTCCTGCATCCAGGGTCACCACCACCTGCAGCTTTGGCCACAGCCGAAGGGCCAATCCTCGGGGTCCCTGCTCCAGAGCTTCCTGTAGTTCAGCTGCTCGGCTGGGGAGAGGTGTTCCTAGGTTCCCATCTGCTATGGCCTCAGCCAGTTCTCTGCCTTCTGCCTCCAGGCCCACAAAGACATCCAGGAGCTCCACTGCAGTCCTTGCCTCCAATGCCCTCAGCCCTGGGGATTTCAGTGCCTCCAGCAGCAGGGTCCGAGAGTCCTTGGCTCCAACGGGGCTTACCCGGCCCAGGGCATGCCTGAGCCAGGGGAAGGAGCTGGGCCATGGGGATGTGGGGGTTACACAGGCAGTACTTCCTGGAGTCAGTACTTCTGGGTAGGCCTTGTTTAGGGTGACCAGACCCAGAAGGGTGGCCTGGAGGGATATAAAAGGGACTATCATTCAGAGTTCAGAATCAGACCTCACTACTGTGGGCCTCCTCTGCATATCTTTCGGCAAGGGTTTGCTGCTGTGGGGTAAGGGTGCCTAGGTTTACCTGCAGAGAAGCTTCTCCATGATATTGGGGTGAGGCAGGGGGCAAGAGCTTCTCTTCATTCTCTTCCTCCTTGGCTTGGCTGGTTTTGGTCAATGGGAGATGACTCCGGAAGGTTCTCATGTCTGTAGCCCCCAAAATACCAGAAACTCTCAGGAAGTGAGAAGAATGTGGAGACCCTCAAGGAAGGAACCCAGAAAGGTCCTAGGAAATGGGGTGAAGGCTAGAACAGGGCCCAGCAAAAGAAACTCCATCTTAATACGACAATCAGGCATAGGTCATGGTAGGGCTCTGGGCCAGGCCATAGAGTACTGGTAGTAAATGAAGGGACCTTTGGGTTCTAGAATCAATCGTGTGTGTGTGTGTGTGTGTGTGTGTGTGTGTGTGTGTGCGTGCGTGCGTGTGCGTTTTCTTTCTCTTTGGGTCACCTCCCCCAGGTGTCAGACACACACACCTGTGTTCCCCCTGGGGAGACAGCGGGGACCCTTGGCTCTCTTCAGACACCACTCAAGGGCCTGCTGCTGGCTCTGGCCCGCGTGCAGTGTGCTCTGTTCTAGTTTTCGATGCTGCCAGGCAGCTGCCAAGCCTAGTGCCCCCCAGGCCACCTGGTGCTGGAGGCGGGTCAGCCAGGATGGCCTGGCATCCCGAGACCTCTGCTGCCACAGCATGGCCAGTAGAGGCAGCAGCAGCAACAGCAGCAGGGGCCATAGCAGCAGCATCTCCAAGTAGCTCCTGGGAGAAGAACAGAGTTGGAGCCTGAAGGAATAAGCATGTCTTCCCCCACAGCCTGCTGCACACGGAAAACAGAGGAGGAAGCCAGGGTCCTGCTGGGCAGGCGGCATGGAAGCGACTGACTGGCATCCCCCCTGTCCCTAGTCCTGTATCAGGAAGGGAAGAACAGCCCAAGCAGCTCCCCCCTTATCACACAGAGAGGGCTGGGTCGTACCTTTGACATCTTACCCACTCCCAAGTGACTTTACTTTCTCTAGGGGTCTTCCCTGTCCTTGTCCCCTTCCCCCCTAGAGCCCTGGGTCTATATGCACCCGTCACAGCCCTCTTCTGCCTACTTCCAGCACCCCAGATCCCTCAGTGTTTCTGGTTTCTGTACACAGCAGGCCAGAAAGTTGGAGTGATGACTTTAAAGGGCAGGGTTTGGACAGGAAATCCGGCCTGGTTGGGCGGGTCTGGGGGGGGGGTGCTCTTAAAGGAACAGGTCACTTAAAGGGTGACAACTTGGGTACAAGTTCAAGTTGGTAGAAGGAGGAGTTAGGGCCAGGGTAGCATGATTATCAAGAAAGAGAAAGGAGGGAGAGTTTGCCCTCTGTCCGGGAACAGGCTCAGACTTGAGAACAACTAAAAACCACAGCTGTGGAGGTGTGGTAGTGCACGCTTATCATTCCAATCCTCAGGAACGTGGAAGCAAGAGGACTGGGAGCTAAAGGTCATCCTCAGCTGTGTAACAAGTTCAAGGCCAGCCAGAACTACATGGAGGTCTCATCTTTAAAAGGAAAACACAAAAAGTCTCCAGGGTGCAGTGGACACAAAGTATTTGTGAGGCTGGGGAAGAAGAACCATTCAAGCACATTCTTGGCTTTAAAGGGCAATGGTGGCTCACACCTTTAGTCCCAGCACTTGGGAGGCCGAGGCAGGTGGATCTCTGTGAGTTCTAGACCAGCCTGGTCTACAAGAGCTAGTTCCAGGACAGCCTCCAAAGCTACACAGGGAAACCTTGTCTGGAGGGGTGTGTGTGTGTGTGTGGGGGGAATAAACAATAACCAGATTGAGGTGCATATTTTTAATTCCAGCACTCTGGAGGCAAAGGCAGGTAGATCTCTGTAGGCCAGGTAGGCCAACCTGGTCTAACAGAGAGTTTCAGGACAGCCAGGCTACATAGAGAAATCTTATGTTTAAAAAAAAAAAAAAAAGAAAGAAAGAAAAGAAAAGAAAAGAAAATTACCTCCATCTTTTATAATTGTTAAACCTGAATGTAATATAGTTAGTTTGATCAAATTTACCAGTGATTGAATGTTACTGACTTTATCTCAAGAAAAAACACACTTGAATAGTTATTTAGTTTATATTGTATTTTATGTTCACTGGTGTTTGGCCTGCATGTGTGTCTGTGTGAGGGTGCTGGATTCCCTGGATCTGGAGTTACAGACAGTTGTGAGCTGCCACGTGGGGGCTGGGAATTGAACCTTGGTCAATGTGTACAGTTTTTTGTTTTCTTTTTCTTTCTTTTCTTTCTTTTTTCCTTTTGTTTTTTGTTTTTTCAAGACAGGGTTTCTCTGTATTGCTTTGGAGCCTGTCCTATAACTAACTCTGTAGACCAGGCTAGCCTTGAACTCACAGAAATCCACCTGCCTCTGCCTCCTGAGCGCTGAGATTAAAGGCGTGCACCACCAACACCCAGCTAGTTTTTTGTTTTCTTAACTTTATATGTTCAGGGATAATAAGGGCTTTTTCAGGATTAGCCTAAGATGCATTGTAATTTAATTTAGTTTTAATTTTAGTATTACTTTAAAGAATTAGAAGGTTTTTTTTCTTTTTTAAGGGTATGTAAAGGGTTGTAAAAAGTCTCAAAATGGGATGAATTTTCAGGCAAGTTTTCCACAAGGTGACCTGATGGCCTAGAGTAATTTAGTGTACAGTAATGCTGGCTGGTCAGAGCAGTTATCCCTCTGCATAGAACTAACAGGGCCTGAGGAGGAGCAGTGGCTCAGAGGGGCAAGAAAGGCCAGTATTCTATGGGCCAGCTCACCAGCTAGGGATAAAGATCCCTGGTCCTTTGGAAGTGCAGCCAGTACTTTTAACCACTGAGCCATCCCTCCAGCTCTGATATATTTGTTTTTATTATATGTTTATGTGGGTCTTCATGTGAGCAGTTGCCCATGGAATCCAGAAGAAGTCTTCAGATCTGCTGGAGCTTGAGTCACAGGTGGTTGTAAGCCACCTAACAGGGGTAACAGGAGTTCAGATCTTTTGGGATGGCAGCAGTTAAGTGCTCTTGACTGTTGGACCATCTCTCCATCCTCCTCCTGCCACTTCTCGTATAGCCCAGGCTGACTTTGAACTTGGTAGGTAGCTAAGAATGACTTGGGACTCTTGATCCTCTTACTACTATCTCCAGAGTGCTAGAGGAGACAGAGGAAGGGGATTTATTAGACTGTCATACAGACTGTGGTTCAGGTAATCCAGCAATGGCTATCTACCAACAGAAGGCCCAAGAATCCAGTAGTTGTTCGGTTCATGGGGCTGGATGTCTCAGCTGGTCTTCAGTGTACATGGGAATTCCACAGAAGTAGGCGCTAACACCGGTGAGGGAATGGACTTGCCGGCAAGATGCTTTCCCACCCAGGGGCATCACGATTGCTTCTGTGTTTTGTTCCTGATCTTAGGTTTTCCCCAGTGTGATGGCAGCTATCAGGTTTTTGTATCTTTTGAAATGATCATGCCAGTTTTTCCTCTCTCCCCTCCTCCCTCTCTCCGGGGCTTCTCATTGTAGCCCTGGCTGTCCTGGAACTTACTCTGTAGACCAGAGTGAGTCAAAGATGCACCTGCCTCTGCCTCACAAATGCTGTGATTAAAGGTGTGCACCACCATGCCAGCCTTTCCTCTTTTTAAAGAGGTTTGAGACAGAGTCTTGCCACACAGCTCACATTGCAATTGAATTACATTCCCGTCTCAGCCTCCTGAAGTTAGGGTGACAGGTGTGCACCCTCATAGTCAACTCTTCCTATCTGTGTTCATTTGTTCATTCCTTCCTTTGCTCGCTCCTTCCTTCCTGTCTCTCTTCCTTTGGAATTACAGATGTGCACCACCAAAGTGGCTAGAGAGAGTGTGTGTGTGTACGCACGCGCGTGCACATGAGTGTGTACATGAGTATGTGATTCAGATGTGTGTAGTGGCCAGAGTCCAATGTTGGGTGGTGTTCACTGATTATTCTTCATCTGAATTTTTTTTTTTTTTGAGATGGGTTTCTCTGGCAAAGTGTATTGGCTGTCCTGGAACTTGCTTTGCAGAGTAGGCTGGCTTCAAACTGAGATTTGCCTGCTTCTGCCTCCTAAGTGCTGGGATCAAAGGTGTGCGCCACCACCTGCCTGGTAATTTTAGTTTTTGTGTTTGTTTTAAAGATAGTATCTGTCCCTGAACCTGGAGCCCCTAGATTGGACTTGATTGTCTGGGTAGGTAACCCCATAGGCCCCGTCTTTACCTTCCTAACTATGGAAACACAGCCATGTGCCCTACACCCGCCATTTTGCATGGGTGCTGGGCTTTCCAGACTCTGGCCCTGCGTCTCTGCAGTAAACATTTTGTCAACTGACCTACCTCTCTAGCCTCTCCATCTTTTCTTTTTAATTCTGTTGATTCTCAAATAGACTTTCGTATGCCAGGCTCATTCCAAATCACAAAGATAAGTCCGACTTTGTGGTTGGTGATGTAGAGTTCCTTTTATATGTTGATGAGTTCCATCTGTTAGCATGTGTTCAGGATGTTTGTGTCCATATTTATGAGTCATGTTGGTCTTGTGATGTCTTAGTCTGGTTTTGGCATTAGGACAATATTGGTTCCATGGCATGATCTAGAAAGTGTCCATGCTTACACTTTTTGAAAAGTGTGTGGGGGTTGCAGAGATGACTAAAAGCACTTGCTACTCTTGCAGAGGACCGAGGTTCAGTTTCCTTTTGGTTCCAGGGGATCGGGCACCTTCTTCTGGTTGCTACGGGCATGAAGCACACACACAGTGCACTTAAACACATGCAGGCAAAACACCCTACACATAAAATTACATAAGTGATTAAAAAACAACATTTTGATTATTATGGTGAGTGTATGTGTGTGCATGATGTGACTGTCCTCCAAGCCCCCATGTCCTGGGGCAGGCTAGTCCCCTGGCTCTGGAATGGAGAGACTGAAGAACAGCAAAACAGCCCCAAACTAAAAACATGTCCTTGAGATCAGCTACAGAGAGAAACCATTTCTAACAGAGGCTACCATAGCTCACCCCACGGTGGAAAAAAAGACAGACAGACTACATTTTTTATCAGAATCCATTGATGGAGAGAATAAGGTCCATCAGGGACTCCATTTGACTGTCCCGGCTTCCACACTCCATCTCTGTTGGATGTTTTTAAGCCTCCAGCTTGGAGATATCCCCTCTGTGTGCTTTCCAGTCAGGCTACTCTCGTCATCTCTTCTAGATGGTATAAACGCCTGACTTGATGTTTGCTATGTGTCTGCTATTTGTTTACTTTTTCATGCTATAACTTAACAAGCTCATTCAGACCCCCAAGTACAGCTGTTGTAACTGAACAGAACAGAACATAGGTTCTCTATCCCAGGATGGACTCAAACATGTTACTTCTGATCCTCCCGCCTCCACCTCCCAAACACAGAACCTCATGCATACCAGGCAAGTGCTCAGTCAACACAGCTACAGCCTCAGTGCACATGAATGTTTTCAAAATGTATTCCCACCCGGATTTATACTCGGAAGCTTTCGGTTTCCTTTCTTCCCTGCCATGCTTCCCCATTACCCCATGATTAACAACTGTCTAAGACTTTTTTTTTTTTTTTTTTTTTTTTTTTTTTTTTTGAGACAGGGTTTCTCTGTGGCTTTGGAGGCTGTCTTGGAACTAGCTTTTGTAGACCAGGCTGGTCTCAAACTCACAGAGATCCACGTGCCTCTGCCTCCTGAGTGCTGGGATTAAATACGTGT